ATGAGCCCTTTCCGCCCAGTTAGCTGGGGGGACGGGACGCAGGATCGAACTTTTCCCAGCCTCTTCCGAGAGTTTCTAATGATCCCCTCCGTGGCTGGCGTGAAACTCTTTGCTCAGCAAGGATTTACTTCAGGGATTTTATTGGTGAGGGCCAAAGAAGTAAATAAACCCAGGAGCTGTCCCCCGCACAAGCCCTTTGGGGCAGCATCATCATCCTCTCCGGTCAAAAGGCCGGGACCGCGCACCCTTGCCGACGGAGCTGCCGCGTTGCTCGGCCTCACTTCGGAGCATCACATCTGCCTCCCTCCTCCCGTAGCGTCGGGGCGATTTGAAGAATGGAGGAAAACGGAACGCGTTTCTGCTTTCTGCCTTGGGGACCAGGCACAGGTAGGGTGGGCAAATTCACGGAACGATGCGTCCGGGTGCTGGGTGAGAACGTGGTGTTACGCAGGGAAGCGGGGCTGTAGGCACAGGCTTCAAACGCAGAGTAAGATTAAAGAGTAAGCTTAGGGTAAGCTTAAACCCCACAGCTCCAAGCTTGCACATTTACCGATTCAGGGCAAAAGCTTGTTAGCAGAATATACCTGAGCTGTGCATTTTCCCTTTGGCTGAATTCCTAGGCACTATCCTCAGGTTTTCCGAGTATCTATTACCGTCTTATCGTGACAAAAACCGCTGAGAAAACATTTGAAAAGCTGTTCTTCTGCCCTGCACGTACATCCAGGGAGCGGGGAAGGCAAGACAGCAGCACGGACAGACCCGTGGGCCCATGAAGAAATCGTCAAGGTTTTTTTTTCTAGGAAGAATAAAACTGTTCCGCAGAGCCTAGAGCACCCCGCTGCCCACGCTGCAGTATCCGCCCTCATTTGCCGGGGAGAGCTTGGTCCCAGCCGTAGGGTTGGATTTTTGTGATGGGTGTTTGTATATCAGGGTGTTCGTGCGGTCTCGAAAAATGTTTGTGCAGCAGGAGGGAAGAGCAGTGCAGCCAGAACCTAGAAATACCCCTGAGGAGTTTCTGTTGTGTTGGGACCTCATGAACATTTGTAAAGTGAAAGCTCCGTCCGCTACGGAGATAGGAAGTAAGACCCCGGGGGTGCGTTCAGAGGAGCGTGGCCAGCAGGGCGCTCGAAAAAGGTTTATGCAGCAGGAGGGAAGAGCAGTGCAGCCAGAACCTAGAAATACCCCTGAGGAGTTTCTGTTGTGTTGGGACCTCATGAACATTTGTAAAGTGAAAGCTCCGTCCGCTACGGAGATAGGAAGTAAGACCCCGGGGGTGCGTTCAGAGGAGCGTGGCCAGCAGGGCGAGGGAGGTTCTGGGAGCACTGGGTCCAGTTCTGGGCTCCCCGGTTCAAGAAAGATGAGGAACTCCTGGAGAGAGTCCAGAGGAGAGAAACTAGGATGATAAAGGGACTGGAGCATCTCCCCTAGGAGGAAAGGCTGAGGGAGCTGGGCTTGTTCAGCCTGGAGAAGAGAAGGCTGAGAGGGGACCTCATCACCACCTACAAATATCTCAAGGGCGGGTGTCAGGATAGACCCAGACTCTTCTCAGTGGTGCCCAGCGCCAGGACAAGGGTCCATGGGCACAAAGTGAAGCAGAAGAGGTTCCAGGTGAATGTGAGGAAGAACTTGTTGAGTTGGAGGGTGCCTGAGCCTTGGCCCAGGCTGCGCAGGGGGGCTGTGGAGTCTCCTTCTCTGGAGATCTTCAACCCCCGCCTGGCCGCTGTCCTGTGCCCCCCGCTCTGGGTGAGCCTGCTTGAGCAGGGGGGTGGGACTGGGTGATCTCCTGAGGTCCCTTCCAACCCCTGCCATCCTGGGATTC